TTTGAATTTATTATCTACAGAGAGTACTGTTTGAGCCTCTGTATGGGTACCTGCGATGATTTCGTCGCGCTGCCATCAATTCGTCGGTTTAGGCGAAATCTTATCATATTAGCCTGTTTTGCATGTCAACGATGCTAGCGAGCTCAGTGCAGCCATAGCAAAGGGAGAAATTGTAATTGTCCACATCTGATCGACTAATTTCCACACCTATAACGCTTCTAGTTATCACCAAATGTCTTTAGACCCTCCAAATGTGGGAATTTTGAAAGCATATGGAGAAAACTTGGTAGTCGCTTTTTTTTCCTTGTCGATGGTGAACGTGACTCAATTCTCCGTATGCAAATTAGCCTTAGATGTATCCTTTCAACAAATTGACAGGAAATATAATCGTTACGTTGCATTTCACATTTTAAGGGAAAAATAACGAACCATGGCTTTGAATTCCCTTAAGGTCTGTTTCTTTAGAGGAAGAAGCAGCTGAAGAAGATATGTTTACGTGGCTTAAAATAATTAAAATTACTGCGGCCTTTCACGTATTTCTACAGAATGGCCGTGTATCGATCAATATCTTTTTCAGTGATAGTTGTTGATAATCATTAACAATTATTCTTTGAAATCGAGGTGAATAGGGGTTACATATTTACCATGGCGCGAAGCGGCGAAGTAAATATTCTTAAAGCCACTATTCACCGAGATTGAAAAGAATAATTGTTTTAGTATATACACACGAAGTGATCTCAACAAAATCAGAGAGGAAACTATTATAAAGTACGTTTTGATTGACGGATCAAATCACGCGGAAGTTTAAAAGTAGACAAACAACAGCGTAATGGCTTAAACGGAACCGTTAAAAGTTTGAATTGTTTCCTTACGTGAGAAGAAAAGTAGAGCTTTGTTGTTTTCTGTTGACTCACCAAGTTTATAGCCAAAAGGGTTTGTTGTGTCTTTCTTAGCATGAAGTGCTGACAAAAAATGCATATAGCGGCTCGGTTGCTCGAGGTAAGACGTCGTTTTCCTGTGCCAGTTTTTTTCCTGTTTACTTGAAACGTAGAATTTTTGTCAACAGTTGCTTTCAAATTTGTTTGTAATAAATAAAGTTCGATTTTTGGGCCAAATGTTCTTCTTAGGAAACGCTGACTTCACGAAACGGCTTCTTCTACGCGAATAAACGGGAGTTGTGAACAATCCATCGAGCACAAAACTTACCGCTACAGTAAATGGAAAAACGCTGTTTTGAATCCTTCCAAGTCAAATCTCTTGCCTCAAAAAAAGTCAGCCCTAGGATTTTGTCCACTTTAAAAAGATCGTTCTCTAAAAACAATGGGAGAAACACGGAGCTCACACATTATCCACTCGCTAGGAGGTGAATATTGTTGAATAGTCCGAGACAGCGAACCAATCAGATTGCTTAAATCACCAAGATCACTGAATGTGTATATACTAATGAGAAATGAAAGGATTATATTTCATGTCAATTTGTTGAAAGGACCCATCCTAAGGTAAATTTCCATTCGGAGAGTTACAAAGTCACGTTCATCGTCGATAAGGAGAAAAACTGCAAAAAACGCGACTACCAAGATTTCTCCATTTATTTTCAAAATTCTAACATTTAGAGGGTCTAATCACATTTGGTGATAACTAGAAACGTTATAGGTGTGGAAGTTAGTGGATGAGATGTGGAACGTATACAATTATGTCAGTTTTGCGGTGAATATGACGAATTTTGGAACATCAAACGGAACTTTGTACAGCACGCACAGAAGAGCGCCCACAAATTTTATTGTATTAAGAAGTAGACTGGTCTTTGTACCTTTGATTTATCATAGACTTGAGTCTGGGTCAGGTGCCACTTTTGCACAGTTATTTCAGCTCTAGTTATGCAAATTACTTTTCCTGCCGAGCAAATTAAAGGTCATTTTAAAAATTTCTCAGGTAACTTTCCACAGAATGCAACCATTAAACCTTGAAACTATTATCAGAATTGAAACGTTTGTGTATAAACTAATTAGCTTTTTCGGCTTTGGAAGGCAGTTTTGACAGAGCCGTAAAGTTTCAACAAAATCGCACCACTTCCGACGGCAAACTGGCTAGTCTTAGGTGACCTAGAAAATCTTCCTGTAATATAGAGAAAACGAAACGGAGGTT